AATGTTATTGAAGAAGTTCAATCAAAAGTTCAAAGAAAGAAAAAGAAATTTTAGTTGATGACTTTTCATAAAGGTTTTTATTCTTACTTTTATTTTAAATCTTTTTTTTAAATTTTAAACTTTCAAGTTATTAATAGAGATTGTTATTTTACTCTAATTTAGTATCTAGTTTCTCTGTTTTCATAGTTAATGGTGATAATAAAATAGTGATAGTATAATAATGGTATAATAAAATAGTGAAATAAATTTAGTTATACTTATTTCATTATTATGAGCTGATGCATTATAAGACTTTATTAACACAAAGTTATTTTGTATTTCTTGGATGCTTCTTCTTGAATGTATTATCGTTTTAATTTTTTTTTGTAACAGACATTAAAATATAGCGTTAGCATTTGGCTTTTTAGACTAAATTTGACTAATAATTGATTTTACTGATTTTAGTGTATTAATACTAAAAATAAAGTAATATATTTTGTTTTTAGATTTTATTAGTGCAACTTTTTTTGAGCTGTCATGCTCGGTGTAGTTAAGGCACTTTCAAAATATTATAGCATCTGTATTTTTGTTGACTACGACATATTTCCGTTAAATGATCAGTTCTGTGAATTATGAAAAGATGAAAAAAAATTAAAATGATAACTTTTGTGGTATTTTATAATATAAATGTTTGTAGCAAAAAATCCCAGAAAAAATTATTTTAAAAAAAAAATCATCTTAAAATCACAATCACTCGTCCAAATTTGAATCAGATTTTAAATTAATATGTTTCTTAGGTGAAACTAACATTAAAGTTTAACTATATGATCTGTTCTGATAGTTTATTGCCACTTTTCCATAAATATAAGCTATTTCTTGGTCGGAATTCTAGTATGTTTGTGAAAATTGATAGAAATATTGTGTTTTGACAACTATATATAGTTATTTTACGTCAGAACCAATTAAAACTAAGATCAGTAGTAAATTAAGGAACTTTTTCAAAAGTTTTCAACTTTACTCATGTTAATTTTGATGCGGGGAATTGATCTAAAGACTCCAAAATAGTGTACTTTTGATTCACAATTACAGGTAGTAAAAATTTTTCCAAACTTAAATTAAAAAAAAATGTTTTTTTAAATATTAAAAAAAATTAAAGCAAAAAAAATTATACCATCTAACCATCTAAAGCTTTTGTTCTTGCAAATCAAAAAATCATGCTAATTCCAACAACAGTATTAAGGAACTTTAAATAACTTTATAAAAACGTACTGAATAAGTAGTTTAGCATTATAAAAAATGTTACTAATGATTCGTAAAAACGCCAGTTAATTTTAAAATCAAGCAATAAAAATTGTTTTAAAATTAACGCGCATTTTTTTGTAACATTTTCCATAATGCTAAGATCGATTTTATAAAGTTGTCAAAGGGTATTTATAAAAGTAACTGAGGTTTTTAATAATATTTAAATATCCACTTTATTTTTTTAGATGCTTTTTCACTTTGATTAAAGTTTGGAATTTATAATATTGTTTGAGCAAAGAATGAACTTTAAAAGTTATTAGTGTTTTATAAAAGTAATAATACTATTATAGTTTTATTACTTTTATAATGCAGTAAGTGACTAGAGTGTTAATTTTTTTGTAGTCGTAAGTTTATTGTTTTGTTTTTTATAACTTTTTTTGTTAAAAATTTATAATAATTTGCTTCTTGAAAACAAAGTTCACGACTTTGCATAAACTAAAATTTCAAGACCAGATATTTACAAAATGTTCATTTTGTAATCGTCTAATTCAACCCTTGTATAAATATATATATATATATATATATATATATATATATATATATATATATATATATATATATATATATATATATATATATATATATATATATATTAATATATATATATATTAAATATATATATATATATATTAAATATATATATATATATATATATATATATATATATATATTTATATATATATATATATATATATATATATATATATATATATATATATATATTAAAAATATATATATATTAAATATATATATATATATATATATATATATTAAATATATATATATATATTAAATATATATATATATTAAATATATATATATTAAATATATATATATATATATATATATATATATATATATATATATATATATATATATATATATATATATAAATATATATATATATATTAAATATATATATATATATATATATATATTAAATATATTATATATATATTAAATATATATATATATATATTAAATATATATATATATATATATATATATATATATATATATATATATATATATATATATATTTATATATATATATATATATATATATATATATATATATATATATATATATATATATATATATATATATATATATATATATATGTATGCTATGTTTGCAAGAAAATTTTGAAATAATTACTCATATAAATGAGGAAAATTTATTAAATAAAAAATCTGAATTAATTTCTAAATGTAGACAGGAAAATAAATACCTCTTAAAAAATTATAATAACAAATGACCAAATAAAATTATCCCCATTCTAAAGTAAATAACCATTAATCTCCATATTAAAACATTTAGTTCAATATAATATATATATATGTATATATATATATATATATATATATATATATATATATATATATATATATATATATATATATATATATATATATAATATATATATATATATATATATATATATATATATATATATATATATATATGTATATATATATATATATATATATATATATATATATTTATATATATATATATATATATATATATATATATATTTATGTATATAATTGTTTATATATATTTATATAGTTTTTAATATAAAAAAAAAGATTTATTATAAAAAATATTTTTGCTGGTGTCACACTCCATTAACCCCCTCCTTCCCCTTTGTCACAGATCGTCACAAAAGTCTGGATTCTCTTCTTTCTCTAGATGTGTGACCTCATTTATAAACAACCCCACACACATATATATATATATATATATATATATATATATATATATATATATATATATATATATATATAATATATATATATATATAAATATATATATATATTTTTTTTTCTTTACATAAGTGTGTTTTTTTTTTTTAATAATAAATGGTTTTAAATAATAAAAGTTATATAAAGTTTTTTAAAAAACAGTTTAATTTTTTTTTCTTTTGTTTACATTACTGCGACGAGTTATTAAAATTTTTTTTTAACTTTTAAATGTGCGTATTTATTACACAATTGTTAGATGTAAATTGTTACTTTCTTTAATAGGGTTTTGCATCATATTTTATCATAAAAACATTAGTAAAGAGAAGCAGTTTAAATTTAATAATTTTCAAGGTAGTTTAAATAATCTTAAATGGGTAATATTTATTTTAGTTAATTTTTTATTTTATTTTTTTTTTTAAGTTTTAGTTGAATTTTTTTTTTTTTTTTTTTCGTTATTTTTTTTTAAAAGATTTTTTTCCTTGTTTTACAAAATTTTTTATGTTTCTTCATAAGGTAACGCACGGTTACCTCAAAATGTGGGTGACATTTAAATGTATTAGAATAAATCCTTTTACCATTGACCTGTTGATTTTTGTTTAAATAAATTTAACAGATGTTGTAGCCTGATGTTAAATGAAGAAATATAACTTTTTTTATCCACATAATAAGTATTTTGTCCATGTAAGTGCAAATAACAACACAGTACAGATGGCATAAGTTGAACTAATTTCTAGTTTTTTTGCAGCAAAAAAACTGTAGACAAAAGCTAAGTACAACCATAAATATTTATTATAACATCTTTTTCTCCTACTTGCATGGTCTTCAAATAAAAAGTTTTTAAATTGTGTGACCTTATCCAACTATCAAATTGCCTGTTTGTTTGGAACCAATGCCGTAATAATTTGCCCCTTACATTTTCAAACTTTTTATATGTGTATATGCATGTATGTGTATATATATGTATGTGTGTTTTTATGTGTATGGGTATGTGTATATGTGTATGTATGTCTGTATGTATATGTGCATGTGTATATGTGTATGTATGTGTATGTGTGGATGTATTTTTATATGTGCATGTGTATGTATGTGTATGTATGTATGTATATATAGGTATACATGTGTATGTATATGTATGTATATATATGCATGTATGTGTGCTTATGTGTGTATATATATAGGTATATATATACATGAATATATATCTCACATTTTTTATATTTAGAATATAATTGTTATTACTTTTATTATTGTTTTATTGTTTTATGTTTGATTACTAGTGTTGTTCCTTATTATTATTATTATTATTTTATTTATACTATTATTATATACATATACATACTTTTAAATAATTACTACTTTTATTCTCATATTATTATTAATATCAATTAATTGGTATTTACTTTTTATTGTTATACTTTCAATTATAACTAATATTATTTTTATATTATTATTGTTGTTATCATTATTATTAATATTAATTGTTATTATTTGACATTATTGTTTATTTTATTATTACAGGGTCTATACTTAATTTCTGACCCCCCACATGTTACAAACACAATATTTTTAGTTGCTCTCTTTAACGCTACTTTAGCCCGAAAAATACTATAGTATGTATTTTTACAAACGTGCAGCTGATGATAAGACCATCTTTCCTGTGAGAAATAAAGTTATTCTGATGCAAGATGGAGCAACTTGCCACACGGCAAGAGCAACAATGAATAAGATCAACAGAGACTTTCCAGCAGTGTGGACTGACTGGCCTGGCAACTTGCCCGACTTAAATGTCATCGAACATATTTGGTCAAGTCTCCAGGACAGTGTTTTACACAATCCTCGACCTTGTAATCGTGAACAGTTGATCAGACGTGTTGAACAGGAGTGGGCTGCCATTACGCAAGAAGAGTGTTTTTGCCTAGTAGAAAGCCTGCCAAGGAGAATTACCCAATGCATAGAAAGAAATGGACAAAATACTGATTTCTGACTATTAACATATATTCTTTGTCTAATTAAATTGATATGACAGAAATAAAATGGTATGTG